CTATGTTTCTCACGGTACCAATTGGCTACCTTCAGTTGTTGTGATCTTGAGTGCGAAGCTGATGTGTGCCAGGGGACCATTGCCTATGACATCTGGTAATGGATGATTCCGTCCACTCGGGATTGTTTACAACAGGAACGTTGCTGTGTACTGCGTTAAACGACAAAAAAACACAAAAAGCGACATAATTTACCGATTAGGTACCTACAACTGGATTTTTGGGTTGCTAAATCACTGTCCTCTCAGTTAGAAACAAAACAGTACTTCTGGTGTTCGGACTGATTCCACCATCCAAGAAAGTGAAATGTTCTGTCCGTGATATAAACAGCACAAACATCATATGAACGTTTATCGGTATTAAAGACTGCCATCAATAGAAAATATCGAACACCATTTCCATGCGGTCAGATCATTTGGACATCAATATCCGACAAAGGACAGGAAATAATATGGCTTGTGCTAAAAGTTCAGCTTCTCTGCATGTTATTTAGCACCGTGAACATTTTGAGAAAGAGCTTTTCCGTGTTTCATACCGCACAGCCAATACAAAATATTACCAATCAATCAATAATTGAGCTTATAGACCTTCTTCAAATACGTCAAACCATGACAGGTCCCTGAAGGAAGCAAAGAAAGCAAATGTACTGTAAGTCCCTATGGTCCTTTGTATGGTGATCTACCTTCAGTTGTTGGCAATATATAGCCTGTTTTATATTGTATTGTCTTCTGTAGTTAAAAGCGTTTAGTTTTTCATACTAACTTTATATCTATATCTGTGATCCTCTAGCTATTTTACTGTCCTTTGTTGACAGGTTTTTATAATTTGACTTTCTTTATTACGACTTTATTTATTATTCAAATACTCGTCACGATATGGCTACAACATTGCCGATGTGACGTTAAATTTCAGCTCACTCACTCTAACCTTTACATGGGAACACGCTCCCGACAGCTATGTCAGGTACACAACATCGGTATAGATAAGTTTGATATGTATTATACCCTATTCAGTAATTTATGGCATGTGATAGGTTCATGGTAAAATTCCCACATCGTTACGGATCATTTGCGCTACCTTCACTCTTTCAACGTCACAAGAGCACCTTTGTTATTACATCGTAAATGCAACAAAAAGAACAATTGTGTAATTGATTTTCATTATCTAATGCTGTACAGAACTCTCACAAAGAAACTATCGTGTTTAAAGTAGCTGTGTGTGCAACTTATTGTCTATTTCGCTTTGTCAGTGTGTGCTATTTCACTTGGGTCAGACTGACTGAAGAATTTGGTCTCAGGGGACATTAGGAAGTTTTGTTTTACCTTAATTAACATATAATACAAATTACTAATCACAAAACTGTAAAATTTATCAACTAAGTCCGTACATGCACAGTTCTGGAGAACGTGGAACTGTAACAAGATATTTGACATGATTCTTTGCGATATTGTTGTCATGGTAGTTGCCGTGAGGCTAATGATGGGCGACTTGCGAACAACTTGGCGATTACTACCTGATTTAAAAGTTGAAACAAAATGAGTGAGTTTAGATTTACGCCTCACTCAACAATATTCCAGCTATATGGCGGCGGTGTGTACATGATCAAGTCTGGACCAGACAATCCAGTGACCAGCAGCATGAACATCGATCTACACAACTGGGATACGATGACTTGTATCAATCTAAAATGTCAGTGAGCCTGACCACCCGGTCCCGTTAAACGCCTACAAACTCAGTGAGGTGAGGTGAAATTGGGTTTAACGTCGTGCTTGAGAATATTTCGCTCATATGACGACGTGCATGCGTGTGTATGTGTATGTGCGGCTGCTTGTACTAGCCCAGACTGAAGCTGGTTTTATAGTGCTAGCCCACTGAGATACCATGCCGCAGTGAAGCATGAATTCCCACTCAGACACATTATACTGACTCCGAGCCGACCAGTCCTTGTTGTACCCATGAATGCCGAGCGCCAGACAGGGACCAACAAGTACCATATTTTACGTCTTTTGGTATGACGCGGTCGGGGATCGAACCCGCGACCTTCCGCGGACGCTACACCACGGAGGCGGTCACAAACTCAGTGTAAAACCGGCAAACCACATAGACTTGTTATACACAAATGAAATAACTTTACAAATCAATACATATTATATCAAAATAAATACAACGACATTAGTACTGGAGCGGCAGCACGTAACTGTTTATACTTTCGTTTGTTTGTCGTTTAATGCCTCACTGCTCCAGCTACATGGCTGGTGGGGGAGGTACCGTCAGACCTACAACCGACTAATTTGCTCATTTCAGCCCCTTCTAGTACAGGTCTTCAACAAACATTCCCTGGACTGCCAGGAATGTCTCTTCTCATTGCTCTTGAACATGTATCTTTGATGAACTAACGTTCTTCCTCCACGGTTGGACCGAATGAACTTAAGATCTACGTGTGCGTGAACCATGATTGCGAATGGTTTGGTAAATATATTATCCCTATATTTATACTCTGTGTGAAAATTGTTCACAACAGTAAGTGGTGAACTCGTTAATTAAGCCATGAGTTCGAACTCACTAAAGTGGTCAACTCGTCATGAGCTGAGACGGCCCCCGCGTTAATTACTTCAAAGGACACCGGCAAGTCGGCCTGGCGCACCTCTCTGCGTGTCTATTTGGTTCAAATGTCTGCCTGGCGGGACGCCCCCAGCTGGTGTCTGTATAAAATCCGACAATCCAGTAATTAACATCGTGAGCATCGATCTACGCAGTTGGTATACGATAGCATGTATCAACCAAGTCAGCAAGCCTGACCACCCAATCCTGTCAATCGCCCTTCACAGGGACGGTGGGGTAGCCTATTGGTTCAAGTGTTCGCTCGTGTGAAGCCCATTTGTGGTGTCCCCGCCGTGATATTGCTGGAAAATTGCGGCGTAAAACCCAACTCACTCACTCACTCACCCATTCGTCCCTTACAACCAGCATGGGTTGCTGAAGATTCTAACCCGGATCTTCTCGGGAGATAAGAACACTACGGTATATGTCAAAACCAGTTAATGATAAACCACCGGATGTAACATGTACAGATTGGTGCACAGTATAGAACGAAACAGTGGTAAAAGTTTCCAAAAATGGTAGTGGTAAAAGTTTCCAAAAATGGTAGTGGTAAAAGCCTCCAAAAATGGTAGTGGTAAAAGTCTCCAAAAATGGTAGTAGTAAAAGTTTCCAAAAATGGTAGTGGTAAAAGTCTCCAAAAATGGTAGTGGTAAAAGTTTCCGAAAATGTGTATACAGGATGAAAAATCACACAACTGGTGGACTTCTTCTAACGTGATACGCAACCTGAGATGACTGAATCAAGTTGGTTTTGGAGCAACCGAGCCTGTTTCATTTGTAGGATTTGCTGCATACACTGTTTATTAATTTTGACTTCAAACGAAAAATCCCGTACGGGTAAGGGCATGCTTTCCTTAACGCGAGGTCTGAAAAAAAATTGATAGAAAAATTGTGTCGAAATCGGTTTCGTACCATATTCTGATTAAGAGACTCGTTTAGCTACACGAGTTATTGAGTTACGCTGATTCCCTTTATATTGTCATACAGCGCTATAAATATCGCAATTGCCAATCTGATTGAAGTTGCACGACATGTTTGAATAAGGGCCTCGTCTAGTCTATTGATTCTTACAGTTAAGACTGTTCTTATGGTGATCTTGCTTCATGCTCTTTCATGCCACAGCCCTAGGTGAGGTATAAATGTGCGTCATACATTGTATTATCCACAGTGAAAATATGTTCTCGAGTTTTTCATTTTCGTTAGGATGATCCAAAGCCGTGACCACCAATATAAGGACAGAAAGTGAATGTTTTGTACCAAGATATCCTGTGTTCGAATCCAAGACGGCCTTTTCCGACTGATGGCTGTGATCATTCGTTTTCCGATAGAGGTGGCTCTTCGTCAAGATAACGTGGTCCAAATGATTTAATTGACAGAATAGCACATAGAAACACACTGGCTGTTGTAAAGGCGAATACCAACGCTAAATGGTTTACAATGGGAGACAGCTGTGGCAGAGTGGGTTAGGCGGTTGACTTTGTGTGCTGGAGATTAGGTGCCTGACTCTGAGGGTGTGGGTTTGAATCCCGCATAGGACTCAACCCAACAAAAGTACTAGAATCTGTACTTTAATGAGAAAGTGTAATCTCAAATACAACATGTGTTATATTTGACCACTTTCTAAACGGCATTGGTTGCTGGAATATTGCTAAAAGCGGCGTAAAACCAAACTCAGTCAGTCAGTCTAAACGGCATTGCGGATTCATTTACAGTGAGTGAGTGAATTTAGTTTTATGCTGCACTCAGAAATGTTCCAGCTATATGGAGGCGGTCTGTAAATAATAGAGACTGGACCAGACAATCCAGTGATCAACAGAATGAGCATCGATCAGCGCAACTGGGAACCGATGACATGTGTCAACCAAGTCAGCAAGCCTGACCGCTAGATCCTGTTAGTCGCCTCTTACGACAAGCATGGGTTGCTGAAGATCAATATTCTAACCCGGATCTTCACGGGTCTTCATTTACAGTGGATGACCTTATTGAATGTATGTCATCGTATCACCAACGGCGTTGGTCATCCCATTGTAAACACAGGGGGATCGTTGTTGGAATAGGAATGTAAACAGTCGTGTGGCTACGTTGACTGCCATCACAAGGAGACAAGGAACATTGCTCACTCAACCGAGTATTATACAGCAGTGTAAGGGCGAGGTTAGAATTCATTCCACCATGGTGTGTGGCTTTTGATTGATTAAACAAGGAAATAAGCTAAAAGTGAAAATGGATTAACAAATATACGGTTCGATATCCATTAGTCGACAGACTGGAAGAATAGATGACATAACATCAAAAAGGTTTGGATATTTATTTTACGTTTCATTGTGTGTTCGTCACCTCCAAAAAAAAAGGAAACATTGCTGCTAGCTTTTCAAAACGATCCCCGATTGTGATCGATCAGTTGAATCAATCCGCGGAGGGAGGAACATTCCTAAGTGGAGTACATCGCCCGTGACGCAGTAATCGACAGTATCTTGCACTTGGCTTTAACCCTGGGGGTATAAAAGAAAATAGTTGGCTCATTTGGCTCCTCGGCAAACCGTTAACACCAGTCAGCAGGAAACAAGGTGAAGGTGTAGAGACTTTCAGTGACTATGGACAGTTTCCAGCCTAATTATCAACAGGAAATATTCAATTTTTTGGATGAGGACAACGGTGATTACTGTGAGAATTACAAGCGTGATAATCTGAATCACATCTGTCCGCTGCACCGAGATCAAAAATGAAAGTGCTATCACTTTGTTTCATCTTTATTTCTAACGTGTTTGCAGAAAACACCTTCTCTCAGCACCATTTTCAAAGACAGAATGCACTGGACAGTTTCAAGGCAAAAGAAGCTCCCTCGGACGTCAGGCAAACCAAATCCCGGCTGCAATGTTCCGTCCTATGTTCCCAGGACGATCAGTGTGCTGCTGTGACCTACTACGATGGCCAATGCTTCAGGTACAGCTCCTCAGTATCAGACTCTGGTATCTCACTCCCGGGAGCAACAACATTCAACAAGGAAGCAGGTCAGATGCTTATTTGGTTTTCAACACAAGATATTGTATTATCCTTGTATTTGGGAGTGGTAACTTGGTATCTAAAGAGTTCACTTGCGTTATGTATATAAAAGATGTACTGTTGGGTATCGTGGAACTATTATGAAGCACTTTTTTGTACTGAACACAGGCAGTAGCTGTTCAGCAGCATTCCCCAGAATGGTGGCCTTGCTTTAGATGCTGTTTTGTATACCAAAAGTAATGTATGTACTAAATGACCGTCTAACCTACAGATGAATGTTGCAATTGTTTTAAACATAGATAACTATATATTGCAATTCGAAACTGTACAACATTTCATACACGTTTTCTTTACGGAGAGAAAAGTTTCGATTTGGAGATCCAACACGTTAAAGAAAGTGGGCTCGTCGGTAATCAATATTTATTATACATGATTGCTTGTCAAAATATTTGTTTAACAATTTATTTCCCTTTGGTGTTTAAATTGGAGATAACTTTGTTTGCCAACCTTCGGCAGAAAGGGCAGCAAATTCGTATGATAACATCCTTAAAACTGATGTGTTGTTTTGACAACTAGAAAATTAGAATGTGAAACAAAGCAATCAAGAAAAAGTAGTTATAATATGAAAACGATGCTTGATTGGCATTTTAGAAGATGATATTTGATGAACATAGAGATTTTTTCTGGGTTACATCTTCTTTTTATTCTCGAGTACAACGTTTCAGGGCTTGTTATGATGATGGGGCCAGAACAAGCCCTGAAACGTTGTACTCGAGAATGAAAAGAAGATGTAACCCAGAAAAAAATCTCTATGTTCATCAATATGAAAACGGTAAAGAAATATTAAATGGGGACCTAACAAAGGAAATGGAAATATGAGGGAGAATTTCGGATTAAGAAATTAGAAGATTAAGTTCAGATCTCCCGATCTCTCCTCTCTCTCTCTCTCTCTCTGATTACATTTCCATATCTAGTGTTAAGAGTAACATGTTATATTTGGGATTATATTTTCTTAGTAAAGTACAGATTCTAGTACTTTTGTCAGGCACCTAATCGTCAGCTGACAAAGTCAGCGGCCTAACCGCTCAGCCACTCCGACTTTGTGTACCCCTCTGATGAATCTAAATTGGCACGGCTCCCATGGCCGAAAGCTATGATTATACAGTGCCATTTACTAACAAAGTTTGAACATTTTCTAAATGGCACTGTGTAATCATAGTGTTAAGCGTATCATGACTTGATTGCTGAAGCTTCTACACAAACATTTCGGTCTGCTGAGGAAGAGGGCTTCTTCCACTTGTTTTCAGATCGCTAGGGAAATGAAATTTTCCTTCAAAGGTGGTTTAGTTCTGAGGAGATCAATGGCAATTTTGACGGTATGATCATTTCTAAACACATTTCAGTGCAATTATTTTATCTAAATAATATTATATATTTTATCTAAATTATTTTATCTAAATAATTGCATGTTGTTAAAAGAAACGTCCATTCTCAGCTGTTTTTATGGGGGAATCAATGAAACCAGACTAGATCATGACTATTAGCCTTGATGGCTTGATCATTACTTTTAACGCAAAAATAATGCCCACAGACATGGCAATAACTATTTATTTCTGTGTACTTGTATATACGGGTGGTTGTGGATTCTACGACCACCCACCCCCAATCCCTAAACAATTTCCGAAATCCAGTGTCAGTGCGCAGAAGTTTAAATATACAATATATCTTCTTCTCGTCTTCTTTCTTCTCCTCCTTGGCAATTAGTGAGACCACAAGTTGACCTCACACTGACAAAGTTTAAGAAAGCAGAAAATAATGAATTACAATATAAACAAGAGTGTAATCAATTAAAATCTAAATCAAATTCCGATGATTCGAATGCCGGTGTCTCGAATATTATGCATAACACGAAGTACCTGTCGGTCCCGACCATTCCCTGCTATTGTTGTCATCATTTGATTTCCGGTTACACGAATTCGTCTCATAAATACACACGATGACTCGAAATGGAAATTTGGTCCCGTGAGATTCAAACAATAGTAATCTTGTATACATAAGCCGAAGTCAGTCAATGAGAAGTTAATTAGTGTTGCTAACTGATCCAATTAACAAACCAGCGCGGCTCGCACCTTTCCGCTAATGTCGGGTGAGTTCAAAACGCAGATTAGTGATTTTACGGAAACGGAAGAATTAGCACATGACATTGAGTTAACTCAATCAAATCAGTTGCGTTATCTAGCAGCTTTCATTCGGTTATTACTATTCATGATCTGTATATCATGGCGGAGTTACAATGTTCCCAGCAATCTGGAGGGATAAACAGATCGGAAACATCAACTCCAAAACGTAAGCGCATTCTAAAAGTGCACACTATTGAGAAGAAGTTTGCAGCGATCACTGCAGTCGAGGCAGGTACCAAATCCAAGAGTGAAATTGCGAGAGAGTTTGAAATTCCGCCTAACACTCTTTCTACTTGGTTGAAAATGGCAGATAAGATTAAAGAATCCATGTTACAGTCAGGTGCAAAACGTCATAGGTTAAAGGAGGCTAAGTTTCCTGAACTTGAGGAAGCACTACTCAAATGGTTTAAGATAGCGCGGGACCAAAATGTCCCAATTAATGGTCCATGTCTATGCCGAAAAGCAATAGAACTAGCAACGCAACTTGGTATAACAGATTTTGTTGCCAGTACCGGATGGCTGAATCGGTTTAAAGAGAGAAATGACATTCTTTTCAAAGCTGTTTGTGGGGAATCAAAATCTGTAGATACCTATGTCTCGAATACATCGATAAGCCGAATCTTTTACTTGGTCCCCAGCGATTCGACTCATCGGGATTAGACTGCAGTTGAGATGAACAGTTACATCAGACTGTTTTACATATGTTATAAATCAGGAAATGATAGTTCCCCCCTTCCTCTACATCCAGACCCCATTTCTAAATCTGGCTCTGAGACAACAAATTCTACTCCAACTGGCTCTCAAGATACTTTGCATATTCGTTGGAGATATTGCATATAAACCTGGGTATAGAGCGTTTGCTCCTAAAGCATTCATTCTTAAGCATATGTTTCTGTTGTGAATGACTCGTGACAGCATGTTTGGATTTTTGGTAGACCAGTCATCAAAGTCTGTTATTTGTGGGAGAGGAGTGCTTATCTTTGTTATGAAAGGTCCGTTGTCAGGTGAATGTTACCGTGTTTAGGGCCATTTGTGCTCTTCAAACTCTTCCAGTTTTTGATTGGTATTTTCTACTTCCATTGGGGTCAGTTAACTTTGTTTTCAGGGAGATATGCAACTTTCCTTCGTGCATCGAACCATTTTGTGAATTTGACAAATTTGTTTGACTCATTTGAAGAGAAAGTTAAAACTTAAAGCTGCATTAGCTCTAGTGCAGCCATGTAGCGACAAGACGTGAGCAGCATCACAATATACAATCCATTATAAGGACAAATTCACGTTTGAAAGCAAATTTATATTTACACACTGTAGTGTTACATTACTATGTACAATTATTAACACGCACTATGTCAATACTATCTGGAATTTAGAACATAGGCTATAACAGCATTACTTACAATTAAAGGCACGGGATATAAAAATAATTTTGTAAAAACCAAAAACAGTTATACAGCTGCATATTTACAATACTTGTTTGGTTTCGAGTAGTATATAATTAAATGTGACACAGGGGTAAACATATGTTTCACATTTGCTGTTTGATAATGTGAAACCCTTGGCATTGCCAAGACCACACAGTGGAGCAAAATATACTTGACGGTGAACATTTCATCACAAGGGATGGTCTGGATAAACAGATAACGGTTTGTCAGGAGCCGTCTTAGCCGAAGCATCGACTGTTGTGTTAACACTAAAATATTAACATCAATTGGCCAGGAGAAACCACATTTGAAGTGTCAGGGTAAATGAATTTGTCAGGGGAAAATGTTTTGCTGATCTTGTAGTTTGGCATTAAGTCTGTGACGTCTGAAACTAATGAAAATATGTAAATTCCTTTGTTTGTTATTACATGTGAGAATGATTGCCATTTTAACACAGGTGGAGCCTGGAATATGTTCTTAGTTTTCACTCATTGAGAGTGTTTGTCTTTATCATAAACTTAGGTCATGTAGTCAGTACACGCTCACTGCCATGCTTCTTTCACACATATTACGAACGATTTGCTTCGAATAATTCCGTCAGAGTCCGTCAGGCATAACTCAGTTTTGGAGTCCTTAGGTTTCAGTCCTTTTATATTTTTATTACCTACGAGGGCGGAAATATCGGGGTTCATATTTTTCATACGATGCCTTAGGGCAAAATATCATTTTGTCAGTGACGTCATGAACAAGGCTATGACGTCACGTTTCTTCTGTGACGTCGTGTTCTACATGCGGCGACGGCGGGTAGCCAGCCTGTGTTTAATAGTAGATTTGGGTTTATTTTCCTCAATTTGACGACTTCGGTAATAAACAGAATCTTATATTCGTGCCCATATCATACTATGTTTACGACACTCGTGCCTAAATATCGGCATATCCCTCGCTCTCGCTCGGGAAATACCAACATTTAGGCATCGTAAACATAGTATGACAGGGGCACTCATATAATATCCTCTATGTCTGTCTACAGCGGAGGTGAACGTTTACAGCACTAAAACAGACATACGTACATTTAGAGAGAACGTTCAGTCTCAGCGATAACGTTTTAGGTTTTGGCCAAATCTTTGTCAAGTTCCATTAGTACATATGTTATTGATAGGAAAGTCATTGATACTTTGTTGTGCAACGCCAACAGTTTTTCTGCGCCTCAGGAAATACGGAATTTACAAGGGTCTTACAGTCCAGTACAGCCTTTCAAAACCCCGTGTAACTAATTGTCCTAGTCTAGGGCTGATGAATGTCCAAGGACTGACGCCGCGGGTGACGTCACAAAAAAGTACAAACTCCGCTGGGACTTCAGAGGCAGAGCGGGCAACATTATGCGCAAGGGTCCGTGAGGTTGACCGATTTGATGGGCAGAAGGGGAACATTTTTGTGCAAACGGTCGTTCTAAAATGGTTGTCGTCCTATGGAATCTTGCTGGCATGCAATATTGGGAAGATGCTTTCAGCCAGTCCTCACATTTGTGCAGCAACATGGTCAATTTCAGTATGACAATTCCAAGACTCATTCTACAGTTCTGACGCGTAACGTCTTACGTAACGCCGGTGTTGATATCACCGACTGGCATTCCCAGACGTGAAAGCGATCAGCACGGAAGACGAATGCCACAGCAGATGAACCAACCCTTCCAATAACCTGGGCAAGTACTCGTTGACCAATGGTCACGACATCCGGTTAGAGTACCAAGTCCTAATGTCCATGAGAAGACGTTTCCGTCCTTGGAGGATCTATGCGTTTTTTACTTCATCTGTTCATTTTGATCAGAGTGAAGTTGAGGGTCTTCAAACACACATTTTCATCGTCTGCAATGTTACCAGGATGATAGCAGCAACACTCATATATCTTTTTCTACTAATTATAGGTATTGTTGATGTGCAATTGTTATTGCTAGCCAGAGCCAAAATAGTCTGTACTATAGATATCTCAATGATATTTTATTCGCACCAGTTTTAAATGTTTTGCACATTGGTGTGATAACAAATTTGCCTTGAATGATGTACACTTGATAATTATGATTCTGTTTGTCCTCAGGGGGATGTCCTGAGTCTCAGGGCTATACGTTAGTCCAGTCACTACAACTGTGTTACAAGCTGTACACTAATCCCTGGTTGAACTGGAGAGACAGCCAGACCCGATGTGAGAGTGATGGCGGACGTCTCATTATACTTAACACTGAACAGAAGCACGACTATATCGGAGATTTAATGACGCGTACGTCTTCGACATATGGTACGTAAATTTATACCACTAGGGAAGGTTATGTCCATTGTTCTTGGAAGAGTTTTATTTTGGTAATCTTCCCCATGCCTAATACATTAAATAAGTATGCCCTCGTGGTGTAAGCAGTTTAATCACCCTCACTACGGTAGTTATTTAAATAAACTCTGCTCGGGCTAAAGCCCACCTCAGCGTTTATTTAAATAACTCCCTTGTAAGGGTGATTGACCTATACATAACCATGTACATGCACTCGGGCAGTTTCCAACTATAGACAAGAAGAAACAGTTTATGGCAACAACTTTAAACTCAGTTTTAAGAACTATCTCTAAATAATACTTGCAAAGTTTGATTTATGTTACTACCGTAGTTTCTGAAAATGGTAGGGCTGGTGGCCAAGCCAGGAAACCTTGTTTTTACAAATTGAAAAGCAACGAAAGGCAAGACTTGTTTAGTATGTCTTTGATAAATCTAAAACGTTTCATGCTAAAAGCATTCAATATGATCGAAAATGGAAGCTGCAAATGTTAGTGTAGTTTGTTCCCAAGTAAGACAAGTGTCATCAGAAGATGACAAATCCCCCGGCCCCCACAAATTTGAAAGAACAAATCATCTGACAGTTACTTAAACACCAACTTGAATTTCTAGACTAAGTCCAAATCGTTTCCATGGAAATACAAAAAATTAAGTGCCAAAATCCCCAAGTAGCAAAAGCCACCACTTCAAGATATGTTTGATATATCTGCCAAGTTTTGTTGAAAGATATTGAACGGTTTTCGAGTTTTACTCCGGAAACGGAGCTCACTCCTCCATTTTGAGACTACTTTCAAATCGTTTCTAGGGAAATCATGAAAAATAAAAAATACCAAAAAACTACAAATAGCACAATTAACTTCCGGAAACGAATGTGACGTGACGGAAGAAGCAATATCAATAGCTATTGTTTTCCACCGATAGTGTGGGATTTTTAATTCGCATAAAAGGGTGTTGATGTTGCTGACGAACGTGTCGGATCTTGAGGAACCAATTACCAGAGTAAAGCATGCCAGCAATAGCATATGTTCAACAGCAAAGCTGCCACATGAGGAATTTGTTTGAAAAATAGCCAAATACAATTGTACTGGCAAAAGCAATCCGGCATAGGCAGTTCGGACAACATGGTCAAACGCCCATCTTTTATTACACCACATCACAACACACAAAAATCCGGGCAATTACATGTCCACTGTACATCCGTCCACTGTTATCCGGGCAAAACCACCAATTGGCCTTTGAAACGTCTTTGCTCTGTTAGTGTGATTATTTCAACATTTCACGAAACAATAAGTCTTACCACAACTGCCTTTCAGTATATCTCGTCCTCCGTTATGTTTAGTTACTAACGTCTTTACGATCATAACCCCATAATGATGACCTACTATTACATATTCTTAGATGCTTCTCTAAAAGATCAAAGGCGCCGACAGTACTTTTTTCAGGCGATAAAGTACACTTTTTCCACTAGATCACACTGTATTGACGCCACTACGGCATTCTCGTCTGCCCCCTCGTAATGAAAAGTACCCTTGGTAACAGTGTGCGAAATATACTCATGCCAATAATGGTTGTCACCCCCTTCATTTTTTTTAATTGGAGAGGGGTGTGGGGTGTGGTGTGTGTGGGGTTGGGGTGGGGAGGGGGTGACAACCATTATTGGCATGAGTATAGTTTTTATAGTTTGCTAGCCAGTCGGGCTAGCTATGCCTGAGAATTACTAGCTCCCACAATAATTCACAAGCCCGAAATTTGAATGTAGACACGGGTTTCACCATTAAGCTGCTAATATGATGAACACTTTTATCATGACATAATATTGCATGATTTAAATGTGCATTATAACTTAACATTCGGAGAGAGTGATATTTTTACAAAATGACCCCATGACCATTCACTAGCCAGTCGGACCAGTGACTGAAGATTTACTGGCCTGAATGGACTTTTATTAGCCACGGGCTAGCGGGCCAGTGGCTATTTCGCACACTGCTTGGTAACGGACGTCACGATGAATATCAGTTGCCATCGCCTCGTAACGTCTCCCAAAGTAACCTACTCCGTAGCGCCCCGTTTCCTGCTTTGCAGTTGCTTCTCTCGGCTTACATCACTGGTGGAAACATTACGTTTAACTTATTTCGATGGATAAATGTCTCAGCTCGAGTCACAATTAAACAGCGACATGGCCATGTTTGCTGATTGAGCGTATGTCCACAGTCCCACAATGCATCCGTGGAATGTCGCGTGACTATTCAACTTCATCTGGATTTACTGTTCAAACCTTACGTTGGTAGTGGAAGTGCTACTTTAACATTGCCCAATGTGGTTTACGATAATCACAAACGTAACGAAAATAGAGAAGATATTTAACCCGAACATAAACAATCTTCAAAATGTTTATCATTTGCTTTTCTGGTAACATACGTCTTAACGTAGGGGGACAGACACGCCAATAGAACAGCACGTCAGTTAGCCCTAAGCGAGGGTTGTTAATTTAGGTCATCGACGCCGTCGTTTTTCTGTTTGTTTTCTGCCTTAGATTAATCGTAATTAACCTTCGAGAGTATTAAATTTGGCATCTTTGTAGGGAAATACAGTTCGCGCTACCACTATGGATAGTGTAATAAACTATACTATTCAAAAATGAAAAGCATAACCCAGAAATCTGTTTCGAAAATGTTATATTTTCAAACATGTATAACTCGTCGACAAATATACTTTAGTACATGGATTTTTGCATCAGTTCAGAAGAAGGAAATGTCTAGATAAACAAGTGGATAATTTTAGGTAAAGGAGACGTTGAGCGCCGTGGTGACGACGTAGCACGGGCCCGACGTCGGATCTCCTGTCTTCCAGTCCAATCTCTCTCAACCTGTTCCGTACAGTTTGACCGGATATCCTCTGAAGTCCAGGCACCCTGGCTGCTATGCTCTCACCCGTGGCAGTACGATCACGCAAATGTAGTACCCGGATGCACCGATCTTGGGCTGCAGTGGTGACTCGAGGTCTGCCTGTACGGGGCGGTCATTTGTTATACCTGTTTGGTTGTAACGAGCTGTAAGCCGTGATATCGTGCTCAGATTAACATTCAGACGCCTCGCAACAGAAACCTTGTAATCTCCAGCGTGCATTCTTTCAATGGCGATGTTCCTTGTCGCAGCGTCAATACCTGGCGTAGTGCTTTGACCTTGAAACTTCTTCAAAACGAATGCCGATTTCCGAAAGTAATCTGGATTTATATAGCCAGACAGTGCATGCTTTTTGCTTCACAATTTCAACTGGTAGATGATTTCTGTTGCGGTGTGATGATGCCTTTTTAATCCTTGTAAGAACTCTCATCAAAATCAACATTTTCAGGTCAAGTCGATTTTTAGCTTGTGTAATATCATGTTATCAACACTTTTGTTACATATTTTGACTATTGTTTGAACACAGTTGGTAATTAATAGATTTTAAAAAATACAAAACGCCTATGCGTTTCTATTTTTGTTTTGGATAATATATATAAACTAAAAATCCTATCAACCAAGAATAAGGACTTAACAAAAAGGAAACTTTGGAAGCCAGCAAATCCGCCGCCACAAACCTTTGATCAGCAGAGACCAAGAATACTACATACCGTTGGCCTATGAAGAATTAATCAAACTATAGACTGTATTAAAGAATCCTAAAAAAAACTTAATCCTCCTTGTTTATTGGCATCACCACCAGTCAGACCGCCTCCGTGGTGTAGTTGTTAGAGCGTCCACCCGGAGTGCGGAAGGTCGCGGGTTCGATCCCCGACCGCGTCATACCAAAAGACGTTAAAATATGGTACTTGTTGGTCCCTGCCTGGCGCTCGGCATCAATGGGTACAACAAGGACTGGTCGGCTTGGAGTCAGTATAATGTGTCTGAGTGGGGTATTCATGCTTCACTGTGGCATGGTATCTAAATGGGCTAGCACTATAAAACCAGCTTCAGTCTGGGCTAGTACAAGCAGCCGCACATACACATTCACACGCATCCACGTTGTCATACGAGCGAAATATTCTCAAGCACGACGTTAAACGTTAATTCCACTACCACCACCAGTCCCATTTGTTGTTCTTCAATTACATGCTGTTGTTAATGTTAATCTGCTGTTTGTCAAAACATACTATGTATATACTTCTCATCATTTGGTTGTTGTCACTTTTAGCTTGATAACGGTGTAAGTATCTACACCGAAACGTCGCTCTAGGCAATAAACATGAAGTTGTCATCCATGAAGTTGCATGTTTCATTTTTCACTCACCAACTTCTAGAATGGCAATCAAACAATTATATAAACAGCACGTCACAATTTAATTCTGGACTCACAAAAGTCCAGAAACTCTCCGCTTTGTGGCCTTTTTCTAACAAGGCATTTGACAAAATTAAACATGCAGTTGTTATGAATATATGCTACCAAGGTTAAACAAAAATGATTTTTTTTGAAAATTCAAACTTTAAACTCGCTCGCCCATGTATGTTTATAAGTATCGTGACACAAAATTCAACACATTTTGACTTAATTCGGCTAACTTAGAACGATATTTTAAAAACATTTTGGCCCATCAGCGAGAATATTTACTTTTACTCAAAATACATGTTTTCCCATGTTTTGGAGGTTGTAAATGGATGAAAGTACGGTTGTAAGTATGACACAAAACACAGCTCATTTTGACCTAATTCGGCTAATTCAGAGCGATATTAAAAAATATCGCCCATGGGCGAGATTATTTACTAATACTCAATATACATTTTTCCACGTTTTTGGAGGTTGTAAATGAATGAAAGTATGATTATAAGTATCACGACAGACAATTCAGCTAGTTTTGACTAAATTCAGCTAACTTAGGCGATGTGTGACTTTTCCTGCAGGTGCCCTGGTGGGTCTGGAGGTGTACAGTGAGACTTCGTATGCGTGGACCGACGGGTCAACCTTCATCCGCTCTGGGGGAACGAGCAGCCCGTTCTACAAAGGATACAAGGCTTGTGCATACATGCATAAAGCGACACTTAAAACAACGGTCTACACAAACGCTGGTTGGTCCTTGTGTGAAGTCGTTCTGTAAAGGTGTGATCCACATGGGTCCAGGGTACCATGACGTCGACAGTTTCGTTGCCTGTTCCTTAAACTTTAAACTAATCGCCGAAAGCATGTGCATTTAATAACAATAATAATAATATTAATAACAATAATGCTAATTTTTGCGCCTAGAATCCAAAACGACTCTGGCGTTACATTATTACCCTGACGGAATTGTACTTTCAAAGCCGCTACTAAGCGACCGTATAGCTCCGTACATCCGCTTTCCACGTACCCATTTTGAACAGCTGGGTGGACTGAGTGGCATGTGGACGAAGTGCCTTGCCCAGGAACGCAACACAGTATGAGACCCAGGTCACAAATTTTGGTGTCTCCACCGGCATTCGAACCCGGGCCTTTGGCGTGAGAGGCCAGCATGCTAACCACTACACCACTGTGCTCCATTTACAACGATGTACAAGTGTCTTGTAAAGCCAGCGCTTACGGAGCTTCCTGCAAGGAATGTGACATCTTACTTGGTCATGAAATCATCACCATTTGATGTAAGGTTAACAAGAAAACGGCACACAGACTAGTAATTAGTGATATCAGTAAGTAACCGCACAAACAGGATGAACGGTGTACAACAATGAATCTCCAAAGACCTTTTGAGAAGGTAAAATAGGGGTTTGCGTGATAGCAGCAATATGCACTTGGCCAAAAAGCACAAGTCAATGCATCCACGAATATCCTGAAAGCTTACTTAATATCTGTTAAGAAGCGTTGCTCTGCCTTTTTATCCCGGAAAGACCGTGATTTCCTACACAACAAGATGAGGAAAGAGGTCCCGTGTGACTCACGTATCGGAATAGCTATATTTCCAGACAATGCTGTCTCGAAGCACATGGGTGAGGTGAGGTGAAATTGGGTTTAACGTCGTGCTTGAGAATATTTCGCTCATATGACGACGTGCATGCGTGTGTATGTGTATGTGCGGTCGCTTGTACTAGCCCAGACTGAAGCTGGTTTTATAGTGCTAGCCCACTTAGATACCATGCCGCAGTGAAGCATGAATACCCCACTCAGACACATTATACTGACTCCGAGCCGACCAGACCTTTAATGCCGAGCGCCAGGCAGGGACCAACAAGTACCATATTTTAATGTCTTTTGGTATGACGCGGTCGAGGATCGAACCCGCGACCTTCCGCTCTCTGGGAGGACGCTCTAACCACTACACCACGGAGGGGATTTCGAAGCACATGGAATCATATCGGTGTTACCTTCAACTTCGACACAACGGTGCGTGAATTCGAACAAAACATACTGAAGTATTTTTCCTTACGAGTATGCCTAAAATACCAAGGCAGTCAAACACTTTCTTGTCGAACTGTGATGTGTCGAAATTGTCTCGAATCTTGGCCCCTCCATCTTCCTTATTTAGTTATCCTTTGGGATTGATATTCATCGAGGGGCAGTGGTGTTGTATATTTGTGCTCCAACTCTACAGGCATTACCATTGACGCTGAGGACAGAGTAGAAAGATCTGTAAGTTGTTTCGTAATGTAAATAAGGGGAGATAACTCTTGCCTCTGATCTCACATGGCATGACAAGTTAAAAGCAGACCAGCAGCGATCATTATACCATTACAGAGAGGGTGAGTTTTACGCCCCTTTTAGCAATATTCCACCAATATTCCAGCAATATCACGGCGGGGGACACCAGGAATGGGCTTCACATTGTACTCATGTGTGGAATCGAACCCGGGTCCTCAGCGTGACGAACGAACGCTTTAACCACCAGTCTACCCCCACTGCCCCGCAAGCTGGATAACAGTTGCTGAAACTTGAAGATTTGCTATAATTACTTCTCTTGTATTACATTACCTTTGAATTTGTACTGCCATTAAATATTGTCCTGCCATAGTGATACACTTGTAGAGATTTGTTATCTCAGTTGAGTTTAGAAAACAAATCTGTTAATTACAGCACATATCTTTGTTGTCCTTTAACTGACAGATTATCGGTTAACTTTATAGTTTCATCTTGCGAATCAATACGTAACGATGTACGGCTCCGGAACGACTATGGTGAGTGAGTGAGTTTAGTTTTATGCCGTTTTTTTGCAATATTCCAGTAATACTACTATGGCAGGAATGGGCTTCACATTGTATCCATGTGGGGAATCGAACCTGGACCTTCGGCGTGACGAGCGAACCCTTTAACCACAAGTCTACCACCTAACTATGAAATATAGTGAGGATATCAGCCGTTCGTTAGAAGGTGAGCTTATCTTTGCACCCATCATAAACGAATACAGTGGCTTGTACATTGTTCACCTTGAAATACTATGGGAACATGTAATATGGTACAAACTAAAATTAGGAACCATATGGGACATCATTTTATGGCCCCGGATCGCTACAACTGAACAGAGGGTAGTCACTGGATTGCCGAAGATGCTGCCAAAATTAATGATGAGGCGGTCATCAATACTCACACTCACGTCGAACAAATAATTAGAGGGATTCCACGGGCACCACATGGATTTGGAATGAATGCACGGTGAGTGAGTTTAGATTTACACCGCATTAAGCTATTTGGCAGCAATGTCACGGCAGGGGACACCAGAATGCCTTCACATTGTACCAATGTGCTGAAGCGAACCCGGGTCTTCGGCGTGACGATCGAACGCTGTAACCACTAGGCACACTCCGGCACAGCGATGAGTAACATAACATCACTGCCTCAGGCTAATTTGCATATCACGTGACTGGACTTTTCTCTTGTTTGTAAACAAACGCGCATATTAATAATAAGAAGAGTCTGGACTCACGAAACCTTTTCGGCGCTCTCTTCATATTGTTTTACATTGTTACATAAATATTCTTCCACAACTGCGACAGTAACGTCTATGACAGTACAGATTTAGATATCAAACTGGCTGCATCGTTTGCTCTCCATCAGCTTCGATGATAGCACGTGGAGCCGTACAACCTATGTAAACAAAGAATCGCTACGCAAATCGAAATAGTGTTACATGTTTTTGGATATTTTCTCAGCGAAACTAAGCATTCTATTAAAGATGTTTAGTTAGATGTGTAGACTCGTCAAAAATAAAAGAGTAAAAGAAATCTGTACATTATATTGAATGGACATTGCAAGATGTGACGAATCGTCACATTTTTCTGGCCTGTTGCAGAGGTACTATGCTGGCTTGCCGCATGGAACTCTGGGTAGGAGATTGACCACTAGGCTGCCTCAACGAATGCAAGGATCTACTTACGGGCCCTGTTGTCGTTCTCTGTAAACGTGGACAACTGCTTTTGATACTGGAATGACTGATTCAGAATTGATTATTTACAGGTTGCCGTCATATGGCCTGAGTAGGAATGGGTTAACCTAGGTCAAAACTTTGTTTCCCTAGCTTTTGTGACCGGTTAAGAGTGATATGTTTACCTTTTTCGCAAAGGCTTTGTGTCGTCACCAATGTCAGTGATCCGTTCATATAATCACTGATGTAATTTTTACGCCAACTGGAACTGGGACTGCTTATGAATGGACGTTTTAATAAGAGTTGTATATTTTACGGTCACATCTCCTGTATAAGATTCCGTTTGCCACTTATCAGTTCCTGAAACTGTTTGTCTGAAAGCAGGTATGAGTGAGTGAGTTTAAATGTAAAGTCACTTTGGCAATATTTCAGCCATATCGTGACTAAATCATTTTTTTATAGATTACTAATAATTAAAGGTAATTTATGAACAAAACTGTCAACAACGGACAGTAAAACAACTAGAATATCACAGGACAGCACACTATAAAAACAGGCTATAGATTGAACGCAGGTATGCCATCTCAGAGTTAATCTGTGCATAATGTGAATAATTACGTGCGTGAGTACGTGTACGTATGAGCCAACAGTTGTTTATTCGAGAGCATGATAAAATAATGTGTTTACAGAAGTGAGTGAGTGAGAGTGAGTTAATATTTAACGTCACATCGGCAATATTTCAGCCATATCGTGACTAAAACTAGTTCTAAATTTATAATACATACATATAATATTTAAAACCCTGTCAACGAAGGACAATAAAACCACTAGATTATCACAGATTGAGTTAAAACTACCTAGCATATATCTTTAAAAAGTAGAAAATTATTTCTGGACAATACAATGTAAAATTGGGATATAGATCGCCAACGACTGAAGGTAGATCACCATACTAGGGACCATGGGGACTTACAGTGCCTTTGCTACCTGCATGGACCCTAGTTGGATTTACATCATCCCTTCAGCCGCTGGCGATTGTAGGAAAATGTAGCCGGCAGTGAAAAGAACAAAGATACTACGTTTAAAATATGGCAAGTTTACATTTTACTTTGAATGTTTTGGGACTTAGGTACCCTCTCAGGAGGACAATAATTTTACAGTACTTTAACCCCTTCTGAGGGTACAGCCACTAACAATCTAAGTTACTAATCTAAATTACCAATCTTTAAAGTATGTCTATTTACAAAACACATTAATCAGAATTCATGAAACAAATCAATTTATTTTTAAAAAAACAATAATTAAATGATAATGAACATTTGTAAAAAGATCCTTCATTGTTTTTACATTGAAATATTTATCCCTTTTGATGGAGAATTCAACACAGTCAAGCAGGACATGCTTGACCGTGGTTCTCTCATCACAAGGGATACAAAACGGAGGATCTTCACCTTTTAATAGGTATTTGTGAGTATAACGCGTATGGCCAATGCGACATCGTCGCATAATGACCCCCTCAAATCTGTACTGACAACCCAAGTAGGTGTAACCAACATAACGTTATATTTCATGTAATTTGTTAATACCTACTTGGGTGTCCCACTTCTTCTGCATCAGATCACGGATGTAAGTTCTAATGCTAGCTTTGTAATCAGAGTATGGAATAAGAAATGGTATTACAGATTTATTGAGTGCCGCCTTAGGAGCAAGAGCAGCCATTGTATTCCCAGAAATGCCAACGTGGCTGGGTAACCAACAGAAGACGACGTCGCATTGGCCAGTAGCAAGCTCATTATACAATTCAATAATTTATATTAAAAGTGGATGTTTACAAGAAAGATTTTTAATAGCCTGAA